CTGAAAAAAAGAGTAGGGATAGACATCTCCTCAGAGAGTGTAAGGGAAGAATGTCCTTTTTTACTGTCCTGTTCATTCCTCTGAGAATCATATTTGTCCCTTATTGCTAAACCCAGGCAGAAAGCATTTTGGAGTCTTTGTGGGAAAAGGGATACCAAGAAATAAGGCAAGTAAAGCTATTATATTACAAAATAATAATAATACACATTAACTCTTCTCTGCTTATAGTTATAGCACCACCTGGAGGAGAGTGGACAGGTGACCCTAGACTTTTATTTTCTGTAAAGGATCACTTAGCTAATAATGAGCAGTAAAGGCTCTTTATTTGGATTCTGATAACAGTGCTGGAGATAGAGAGGAGTTGCACATTGGGTGGGATTTTTGTGACACTTTGTGCCTTACTTTAGTTATTAACCTGGGGTACTAATGAACATTCATTTGGATCCTGCCCAAAAGAATATGTGTTATAATTGACGTAGGATTATTTTATCTGTTGTTACTAGATGCCATTGTGACTGTTCTGGTTATCAACAACCCATGTGTTTGGTGGTTTCGAATTACTGACCTCTCAGATCGCAATCCAGCATTTAAGCACTATGCCACCAAGACTCCTTAAGACAGTTAATAGGTTAGTGGAAATAATAATGAAGTGGATTCTGTTATTATTTAATTATGTAGTCTTGGACAGGTCATTCTACTATTAGTCTCATATCCCTCTATCGAGAGGTTTGGACCATGTAATTTCTGACATCTCTTTCAAGTTTTGCTTCATAGATGAGAATTATTGGATGGTGTATAATTTAGGACATAGTAAAGTCTTCATATTGACTATTCCTGCCCCAATATTTGTTAAGGCCAGAGTTCAGTGGCCGTTCCAAAGAGGTGAACCTTTATTTCTTCCTTTATTCTTTTTTTGTAGGGGGTTGTTGGATTTGAGAGCATTTAGAGAACAAAACTTATGCAGGCACCAGTTAGATAGCTACCCTTTAAGGATACAATCCTTGCTGCGAGTTGATTAGTGAGGCCCCTGATAGAGTTGTACTTTGGAACACACTG